GGATCATGCCCTGAGCCAAAGGCAGACGCTCATCTGCTGAGCCGCCAGGCATCCCACGAAATAATATTTCAAGTCAAAGAATGAAAGTGACATTTGACCTTTGAATGTATCACCAGTTGCCAATTTCATCTCTGGTTTTTCACACTGTGTTTATAGAGGTTTTGGTCTGAAATATCAACTCTTTTGATAAAAATGAATGGCAAGGGCACCTGAGTGGCTCCATTGGTTGAGCAGTTAAGCATCTGTCTTCAGCTCAGGTAATGATCTCGGAGTTCCGGGATTGAGTCCTGCATTGGGCTCTCTGCCCAGCAGGGAGTCTGCTTCACCCTCTCCCTCTCCCTCTATGCTCTCCCCTCTACCTCAAATAAATAAAATATTTAAAACAAAACAAAACAAATGCCAAGTATATCTTATTACAACCAGAGAATATTAACCCACTAATTTCCATAAGGTTTCCGGAATTTTAAATTAAATTTAATTTAAACTAATACCCAATTTATCAAACAGTACTAGGTTCAAACTATAAATTCAGCTATTGGGATGCCTGGGTGGCTCAGCAGTTGAGCATCTGCCTTTGGCCCAGGGTGTGATCCTGGAGTCCCAGGATTGAGTCCCACATCAGGCTCCCTGCATGGAGCCTGCTTCTCCCTCTGCCTGTGTCTCTGCCTCTCTCTTTGTATCTCTCATGAATAAATAAATAAAATCTTAAAAATAAATAAATAAATTCAGCTATTAATGGTAAACTTTAATGGATCCTGCAAAGTTAGAGGAAATGGAAAAAAAAAAACAATATAGACTTGACTAAGAGAGCGAGGTTAAAAGTCAAGTTTAGGAGATGAGTCTTTCCAGCCCCTCCAGGCTTTTTCTGTTGATACCTTAAAGTTTAATGTCCCTTTGAAAATGGTGCCAGGGAGGAGCAGGCATAACTTGTTCTGTTACTCAACATGTCTGTTTCCAGTAACAGCATCATGATTATGCAAATAATCTTTTCTTGAAACTCTGAAATTATGTGCCTAAATATAATTGCCAAGGTAGTTTGCACCGAATTTGAAAGGTAACTGTCTAAAAACATTTTGTAATTAGCGTTCCCTTTCCTAATTCTCTCAATTTCAAACTAATGACGGGTACAATATGGCTCTCAAATACCTGAAGGAAGCTATTCCTTATAAACTTCTGGACAGATACCATTGGTATGTGACCCTGTGAAGGTCACATAGAATTCCCAAGGGAAAAGAAGCAAAGAATAAGAACCCAATTTTAATCCCTTGTAAAATTGTTTTCCAGAAACTAAAAGACAAAAGCTATCTATTTTATAAACTATTTAAATGTTTCATGAGTATCAAATCACTTTATGAAATTAAGACTCTTCCTGATCGTTCTACTTTTAGAAGTCTATTGGTATATTCAAATTTAAAACCAGAGAGTCTCAAAAATGGTACCCTGCTTTAAAAAGTAAAGAACAGAAATACTCTAAAGCATTGCAGACTGTCTTTAAAAATGAAACTGTAATTAAAAATTACCTTTTCGGGATTCCTGGGTGGCGCAGCGGTTTGGCGCCTGCCTTTGGCCCAGGGCGCGATCCTGGAGACCCGGGATCGAATCCCACGTCGGGCTCCGGTGCATGGAGCCTGCTTCTCCCTCTGCCTATGTCTCTGCCTCTTTCTCTCTCTCTGTGTGACTATTATGAATAAATAAATAAAATCTTTAAAAAAAAATTACCTTTTCAAGCATGGGGGGTGGTGCTCAGGAGTGGCTGCCTTTGGCTCAGCTCATGATCCCAGGGTCTTGGGATTGAGCCCCGCATCAGGCTCCCTGCTCCGTGGGCAGCCTACTTCTCCCTCTCCACTGCTTATGCTCTCTCACTCGCGTTCTCTGAAATAAATAAAATCTTTTTAAAAACCCACCTTTTCTTTGAACAACTAGTTTCACACCAAAATGAGAATCAGTTGTCTTTGAAATATCCTCTTGATACCAAAAGGAAAGTATCACTTATTTTATATTCCTACTGTGTTCTCTCACAATGCTGACTTTTAAAATGCCTTCTGAAAATTTTTCTAGCATTTGATAACACACTAGTTACTTATATTCTGGGCTTTAAAAAATTTTTTTTTAAATTTATTTGAGAGAGGGATCCCTGGGTGGCGCAGCGGTTTGGCGCCTGCCTTTGGCCCAGGGCGCGATCCTGGAGACCCCGGATCGAATCCCACGTCGGGCTCCCGGTGCATGGAGCCTGCTTCTCCCTCTGCCTGTGTCTCTGCCTCTCTCTCTCTCTCTGTGACTATCATAAATAAATAAAAATTAAAAAAAAAAGTTTTAAATTTATTTGAGAGAGAGTGAGCAAGAGAGCTAGAGAAAGAACACAGGAGCAGAGGGCAGAGGGAAAGCAGACTCCCTGCTGAACAGGACTCCATCCCAGGACCCCAGGATCATGACCTGAGCCAAAGGCAGATGCCTAACTGACTGAGCCACCCAGGTGCCTCTGGGCTTCTATTTTTTTGAAAGATTAAAATGATAAGAATTAGATAACCATGTATGTACACTGCAAGAAGCACAGACCCATGTCTGAAGCAGAGGAGGTTCTAGTCCTGGTTCTAAAGGTACTTGCAGAAAATTATCAACTAGTTGTATAATCATGAGCAAGTCATTTGAGGTCCTCGGATTTGTTTTCAAATTTGTTAAACACCTAGATGGATCTGTTGATTATCCAAGGACCCTTCATGCCTAATATGCAAATGATTTTTTACAATGCAGGACAGAGATTAAGTTCTGGGCTTTGGGGTTGGGGCCTGAATGAGAATTCCATCTGGGTCATTTATAAATGAGCAGAGGTCTTTGAATGAAGTAATTTAACCCAGTCTCATCCTTTACTTTTATTTTTTTTTCAGTCTCATCCTTTAAAAAAGGAATAAAAATATATACCTTTTTTTTGTTTTGTTTTTCAAATAATTTTTTTAAATTTTTTTTTAAATTTATTTATGATAGTCACACACAGAGAGAGAGAGAGGCAGAGACACAGGCAGAGGGAGAAGCAGGCTCCATGCACTGGGAGCCGGACGTGGGATTCGATCCCGGGTCTCCAGGATCACGCCCTGGGCTAAAGTCAGGCGCTAAACCGCTGCGCCACCCAGGGATCCCTAAAAATATATACCTTATAAGGATTTTGTGGCCTTAAATAAGTAGATGTGAAGTACTGAGCAGAAGAGTTGGCAAATTTAATCACTCACTAAATAAACTTAACTAATATCATCTCCCTTTATGGATTCTTAAAATATAGTTTCTAGTTCTCAATTTCTATATCTGTAAAATGGGGGCGTAAGATCAGATAAAAATTCCGTTCAAAGATATAAGATTACGTATTTGTAATAGACGGCTGAAGATCAGAGGTTGGAGAAAAAAAAGAGATATGCTTCACCCACCAGTACAATGCCTCTAACTTCCTGCCTCCACCTTAGTGCCCTACTTTCCTCCTTAGGGAGGGTGTGTCAGAATTTGTACCGGTTTTTTATTCAAGGGAGGAATTCACAGATTCACGATTTTACCAAAATTGCACAGAGCTAAAAAAAATAATAATAATAATAATAAATCTAGGACCTTCCCTTTCCCCGAATCCTTCATCCATCCTTCTCCTACTCTGTATTTTCTCAACTGATTTTTTTTAACCTGAGTGCAGCCCGTTAGGGCTTTTAAAATATATCATGTTAATTTCAGTTCCTAGTTCCAATTAAAATGTTAAGAATCATTTTCTGTCATAAAATACACTAGTGGTTTTTACTTTCTCTTTTACTTAAAGGATTTCAGGCAGACTGCATGCATTACTTGTATGGCAAGCTAAAACAGAATCTAAAAACTAAATAAGGGGCACCCCGTGGCTCAGCGGTTTAGCTCCGCCTTCGGCCAGGTCCTTCGGTCCTGGGGACCGGGGACCAAGTCCCACATCGGGCTCCCTGCATGGAGCCTGCTTCTCCCTCCGCCTGTGTCTCTGCCTCTCTCTCTCTCTCTCTCTGTTTCTCATGAATAAATAAAAATCTTAAAAAAAAGTAAAAATTAAATGAACTTGGCTAATCTATCAGCAATTTTCATGAGCATGTTCTTTTATGACTTCTTGGCAAAAAGTGGTGAGAGGAGGGAACCAACTATTTAAGTCACTTTTGAAGATCTCCCTATAAATCCCTCCAGATTAGGGACGCTTTGGTGGCTCAGTGGTTGACTGCCTTCGGCTCAGGGCGTGATCCCGGGGTCCTGGTTTCGAGTCCCGCACTGGGACCTTGCCTCTCTCTGTGTGTCTCTCATGATTAAATAAAATCCTTAAAAAAAAAAAAAATCCCACAGATTAGAAGCAAAAAGTTTCCACGCGGAATTAAGAGAAAAACGTTAAGACTCAGATTCTTGAGGCTGCACGAAACAGCATGAGGCAATATAACAGTCATTAAACGATTCCTTGTGATTGTCAGCCTGGAACAAACGACTTAAGTTCTCAGAGCCTCAGTTTGCTTACCTGTAAAGTGGGCATAACGATCATACCTACCTCCTACCTCACCAGATTGTTCCAAGGATCAAATACAACAATGCACGCAAAAGGACTCGAATAAATCCTATTCCTGCAACCATGTCGTCTGACATTTTAGTGTGAGGTGCCTCAACAAAACCAAGGGACCTATGACCAGCCAGGAACTCGGTATTTTCCACCGACTTAAGGCCGCTCTTGAAACCAGTCGGCTCATCCGCCGGGCACGGTGCTGTAGCCACAGCGCAAGACTTCCCTCCCGCAGAAAACCCAGGTCTCTCTGCGGTCGCTTGCAAAACTCCTCCCCGCGGATGTGAGGCCCCGCGAGGGTAGCGGCGGGGCGTGGGGGTGGGGGTGGGGGTGGGGGTGGAGGGTGTCGGGGCCCGCGACTGTCGCCATGGCAACCGCCACAGATGTCTCAACTCCCTCCCCCGGCGAGGCTCCACCTCTTCCGGCCACACCAAAAGTCTGCACCGGAGAGACTAAACTGAACGGCCCAAGGTGGCCACTCTCGGCCCCTCGGCAACTTCCCGGGCCTCAGGCCCCACGCTGCCCGCCGCTGACCTCCTCTTCCAGGCACTTCCGGGAGCCGCCGCCCTTTGCCCCCGGAAGTGGGCGGGAGAGGAAGCTGCTGGTGATGCTGGAACAAATATGGCCGTCCCGGCGCCGGTCGGGCCTTCGGGCTCCCGCCGTCCTTCGCTGGCCGCCGGCCTCCAGCTGCTCCCGCTACTGGGGCTACTGCAGCTGCTGGCCCAGCCTGGCTTGGGCCGCGTCCACCACCTGGCGCTCAAGGTAGGGCCGGCCAGGGCTAGGCAGGACCGGGCAGGGCCGGGCGCGGGGCGGAGGCCGAGGCCGCTTTCCCGGGCTGAGGACAACTTTGCCCCACGGTGGTGGGTCTCTGAGCGGTTGCCCCCAGCCCGCCTAGCCCCCGGCGCGGCCTCTCTCTGTGAGCGGGGTTTTGGGAACTGTGGAAATGGCCGGGTCCTCGGGCCGCCTGGGAGGGGCAGGAAGATTGGAGCCGAGCTCAGAGGGGAGGGGGCTGCACAGCGGCCTTAACCTCAAGGGTTGGGGGGTGGGGGGTGGGGTGCTTGGAGTCCCTGCTGGCTTCCCTCGGTTCCTAGCAGAGAGCCTCCAGCTCTTCCCTCTGCACCTCTAACTCTTGTCCCCCACTTCACTTGTCCACGGTGTCCACTCTTCCACCCTCTTGTGCCCCTTGAAGGTACGCGAAACCTCAGCCTCAGTTTCCCGGTTCGGCTTAGTGCGCTGTCTGGACTGATGAAAGTGGGAATCTTCAGAAGGAATTTCAAGTCTTGTCTTTTTTTTTTTTTTTTTTAAGGAATTTCAAATATTGCTTGAAATACACGACCGAGAATTTAAAACCTGCATCAAAAATGTGTTTCTAATTAGAGAGCCTGCCCTTTTCTCCCTCGTTCCTGTCATTGTTTAGGGAAGAGATTTATGTAGGCCTCGAATGACCCCTTGGATCTTACTTTATAACTCACAGGTAACAGTCGTCTGAGGCTAGAACCTGCCTCCAGACAGTTCATCAGGTTAATATATTTGGGGAGTAGAAACATAAGTCCTTATGACCCAAAGCCCTCTGCATGTTTTTCATGATGTACAATTTTCTGAGAAGTTGCGGGATTATAGGAAGTTCGTCTTATTAAAACACATTAACAGACCACAAAGTGTTGTATTTTGGGAAGGTAGAGTTTAAAGAATATAAAATGCAAATTAAAAAGCCTGGCCAGACCCATGCACCAACCTTTGGTTATCAGCTTTTGTTTTTTGTAAGTAAAAATTATCCTAATTAAAATGATTCTTAAGTAAATGGCTCCTTTTGAGAATCTGTCAAAATCTATAGAACCTCTCCCCAGAGAAGTGCAGGTAGAAATGTAGACAAAGCATTCTTGTGGAATTTCTGGGACTTTTTGATCCTGCTGAAGTTTGTCCCTAGGTCCTCGTCCAACTTAAGAACTCCAGATCTTCAGAGTGCTTTCATTTTATAGGTTGGGATCCTTAGATTAAGTAGTGTTAACTGAGTTCATACAGGTTATAAATTAGAGATGAAGCTAGTAATTGAACACACTGGACCATGTCCCTTGGTTCCCAGTCCAATGCTCTTTGTATATTTCTAGAATTAAAATGTTAGCATCATTGGGTAAATACTGATAGTGTTGGTAGAGATGAAAACATATATGAACCTCAGTGGCAGAAGCAAACTACTTGGTGTAGTTCTGGTAATCGATTTCTTCCTGTTGTGCTAAATTACTTAATGTTTTTCATCTGTGTACATGTTTCATAAGTATTGTGGTAGTCATTGCAAAATAATACCATAGTGCTTTCTTTTCTCATTAAACAAATATTCTGACTTCTTCCCTAAGGAAACAAATCACCTGAAGGGAGCCTATCAGAGCAGCAACATTAGATTGTCGTGTTTTGCTGGAGACTGGGAGAAATAGGAGACTTGATCAGGTTGTACACCTAGACTGACAGAAGTAACATGAAGAAGTCACTAAGTACCATAAATATGTGTAGATCTGTTTAAAACCTTTTTATCATGGAGAATTTCAAACAGATACCAGTTGTAGACAGAATTAACTCCCATGTACCTGTCACCCAGCCTGAATAACCATTATTAACCAGGGGCTGGTTCTGCACCATCCCCACACACAGTACTTCTGTCTTCACGTTCTTTGCTTTTTATAATTAAAAGTGAATCTTTTCGTTTTTTTATTCACTCTGCTTGTTCCATACTACACTTTTCTTTCTTTTTTAATCTCTCCGCACGTGGGGCTTGAACTCACGACCCCAAAAATCAAGAGTTGTGACACACACTCTACTGATTGAACCAGTTAGACACTCCCCCATACTATACTTTTCAACATTCTTCTGGTTTTCCCAGTCTTCTCAAATTCCTTTTTTTTTTTTTTTTTTTTAAGTAGGCCCCATGCCCAGCATCAAGCCCAACTTGGAGCTTGAACTCACGACCATTCCATACCTTTTTAAGACTACCTTACTGAGGTACAGTTTACATTTCATAAAATAAGTCCTTTTTAAGTATACAGCTCAGTGATTGATAGTAAATTTGCTGAGTTGTGCAACTATCACCACAATCCAGCCATAGAACATTTTCATTACCACCAAAAGATCCCTTGTGCTGATTTGCAGTTAATTCCCATTCCCTTCCCCAGCCCCAGGCAACCTGTAATCTCCTTTCTGACTCTATAGATTGCCCTTTCTGGATATTTCATATAAATGGAATCACACAATATAAGGTCTTTTGTCTATAACTTTTACTTAAATTTTTGAGGTTCATTCATGTGTACCATGTCTTCATAATTCATTCCTTTTTTATGGTTGAATATTATTCCGTTGTATGGATAGACCACATCTTTTCTTGATTCACCAGTTGATGACATTTGAGTTTTTTCATTTTTTGGCCATTGTGAATAATACTGCTACAAACATTCACATGTGTGTTTTTGTGTAGACATGTGTTCTCTAGTTTAGCCTGTTTGTCTGTCCTTTAATTGTTAATTGGATCCAGAGGCTTGATCATGTTCAGAATTGATTCTTTCGGCAAGACCACTTCATAGTTCCGTGTCCTCCATTGAGAGGTGTGCTGATCGTCTTTCTTTTTGTCGCGTTTGCCCTGTTGATGTCCAATGCTTACATCTCTGTTTGTTAGTGTCTTTAGCCTTTCCAAGCTGCTACAACAGAATACCACAGATTAGGCAGCTAATAAACAGCATAAATTTATTTCTCAGACTTCTAGAGGCTGAGAAGTCCAAGATCAAGGTGCTGGCTTTGTGGAGGGCCCTCTTCGTGGTTCATAGCTGGTGTCTACTTGCTGTGCCCTTATGGTAGTTGTGGTGAAGGATCTCTGTGGGGTCTTTCTTACAAGAGCACTAATTCCATTCATGAAGGCTCAGGCCTTATGACATAAGTACCTCCCAGAGATCCCTACCTCCTAATATCATCATCTTTGGCGATTAGGATTTCAACATGAATTTTGGGGGAACACAAACATTCAGATCATAGCAGTTAGGCATTTGGTCCTTAATTGTGCTGTTTGCTGTCAAAGTATAGCACTGTCTTGATTAAAGTTACATGTTTTATCTTACAGTAGATTTTGTTATGTTTCTCAAATATGACACATGAGACAAAGGAAAAGTGTGTAAAGTAGAAACAAGTATTATTTCTTAGACACTCATATGCTCAGGAAAAATAGATAGTTTGTATTAGTTATGATCCCTACCCAGGTGTCATGCAGGCATGGAAGTTTCAGACCAGCAAAGAAAACAGATATGGCCCTCCATATTCTGAGTATAGACTTCCCTCTGTTGATGGGAATTTTTCTCAGTATCTTAATACTTAATGACTTCAGAAACTTAAAATATGGAATGTAACATAGCTTTTTCTGGATGATGGGTGGTTTCCATTCATTTATTCACTGAGTGTTTATTTTCTGATTCCTAACTTTGAATAAATGGTGTGTTTAAATGATCACTGATGTTGTTCTACTTTTTTTTTTTTTTTTTTTTTTTTTGGAGAGAGGGAGTGCTTGCATGAGTGGGGTGGGAAAGTGCAGAGGGAGAGAGGGAAAGAGAGAATCCTAAACAGGCTCCACACCCAGTGTGGAGCCCCATGCAGGGCTTAATCTCACAACTCTGAGATCATAACCTAAAAAGCTGAAATGAAGACCCATTCAACCGACTGAGCCAATCAGGCACCCCACTGATGTTATTTTATTTTTATTTATTATTATTATTATTTTTAAAGATTTTATTTATTTATTCATGAGAGACACACACACACACAGAGGCAGAGACACAGGCAGAGGGAGAAGCAGGCTCCATGCAGGGATCTCCAGGATCAGGCCCTGGGCTGAAGGTGGCGCTAAACTGCTGAGCCACCCGGGCTGCCCTTATTAGTATTTTTTAAAGATTTTATTTATTTATTCATAAGAGACACACAGAGAGAGAGAGAGAGAGAGAGAGAGGTAGAGACAGGCAGAGGGAGAAGCAGGCTCCATGCAGGGAGCCAGACGTGGGACTCGATCCCAGGTCTCCAGGATCACGCCCTGGGCCAAAGGCAGCACTAAACCACTGAGCCACCCTCGCTGCCTTGATGTTATTTTAATAGTCATTTTTAGATTCTTACTAATGGGATAAAAAGGGATAATCTGAGTTTTATGCTAGAGTTTGTCTGAATATAGTTTTTACATGTGAACTTTTATTTACAAATACAAAATATTTTGATTACTGATAATTTTAGCTTTCAGGTACCTGCTGCATATGAGATGGTAGCAAGAGAGTGTTTTGCTAAACTTTGAGTGCTTTGGTTTAATTTGGACGTTTCTTGGGCTGAGTACATAATTTTATGGTAATCATCCACAAATTATAAACCATAGTCATAAATCAAAGCTTTATACCAGCAGTTTAATATAGTTTAGGAAATTGCATGACTTTGGAATAGACAGATGTCAGTTGGAATCCTGACTTCCTTCCAAATAATGCTATAATTTTTAGAGTAGTCACATAAGACATCCTCTACACCAATGGGATCTAGATCAGAAGGTGTTAAGTGAAAAGGTGGATTAAAGCAGAAAGTTGCACAAAGAGTATGTACCTGAAATGTGTTTTTTTTAAAGATTTATTTATTCATGATAGACACAGAGAGAGAGAGAGAGGTAGAGACACAGGCAGAGGGAGAAGCAGGCTCCATGCCAGGAGCCCGACACGGGACTCGATCCTGGGACTCCAGGATCACGCCCTGGACCAAAGGCA